ACAATGTATAGAAAGGTGCCAAGTGCAATATGTCATGCTTAAGCTAAACCTGGTGAACATTGGGCAAAGAATGTATTATAAATAATGATCCTGGGATTTTGTGCAATGTTTAAATATTTAGCATGTATACAATTTTTTTGGAAGACATCTGAAGTGACATAGAACAAATGTAATTTGTAGTTTTACCTGTAGAGTTATAAATTACATCCCTTTTGAAGACTGTCATAGTGTTTATTAGCTGAGCACCAGTGAGCTTTTTGCTTATTTTTAGAATGCTATTGCAAAAAAATACCATAACTATTCCCATGTTTGAATGTCTATAAGCTATCAATCCAATTGCAATTCAGAAGAATATAACTTTTTCATCTGTTTTTTACTTGATAATCACGAAATGTTAAAGAATCATATATATATTTTAAATATTCTTCAAAATTTGACTTCGTGCCATAATTGGGCAGCTATCAACAGTATTGTTCTGTAAAGTACCTTTTAGCAAAAGTATTTCGCTTTAAAATTCTAAAAACAATCCCTGTGTCTCCACATGTGCTTATTGACTGGATTCCATTTTCTTTAAGGTAACCTAGCAATTAATTTTGTCTGGATTCATTACAAAACGTGTCTATTATAAGCCGTTTAGATCTGTTGAGGGTGACAGTGTAGACTGTTCCATTACTCTAGAACCAGTTAGGTTGGTACAGTCTCCAAACTGCACTGTGTCAGAGGAGATCTGTCAGGAGCACTATTGGAGCAGTACACAAAGGCATTCATTATGACACAGGTGCCACCCATTATTATGGCTCATTACGGCAACATCTTCAAACAGTACAAAAACACATTGGTTTAACCTTTGCATTACCAAAAGTTACACTTAAAATACTAGTAACAGGTTTATATAACTTCAATAGGAACATGAAATAAGATGGAAGCAGAATTAAGTTATTATCAGACGTAATAGCATTAAAAAAGTGTGTGTATGTGTGTGTGTATATATATATATATATATATATATATTTATTTATTTATTTATTAGGGGTGTAACAATACATCAATTTGTATCGATATATCGATTCAACGGCAAATGATCCGATGCATCGATGTGACCGCATAAATATCGGTACATGCGTTTTTATTTTCTAGTCTGTTCCAGTATTGTTTTCATGATCCACTCCGTCGTATACATGGTCTACACCAGGGGTGCCCAATACGTCGATCGCGATCTACTGGTCGATCGCAAAGGTAGTGTGGGTAGATCATTTGGCATGAAAAATAGAGGATGGATGACGCGTTCAACCGCGCCAGCTGCTGCAAGCTACCGAGTCGCCTAGTTAGCCTCCAATTAATTTCTACTAAACTTAAGAAAGGGTATAAAAATGAATGGGGGAGCTGGACCAAGTAGGAAGCCTCTAGCACAGGAGAGGGTCATACGAGCAGTCATGACAGTTATGGACATACTTTTTGTTACACTTTTGTATTTGTCTGGAGAAGACTTGATTCAAAATAAAAATTATTCACCATGTTAATCTACATCCATCCAAAGTTTTTATTTTTACCTTATTGCACTTTATTTTGCTTGATTTATGGGACATACTTCACTACACTAGATTTTGTTTACAGTTCCCAATAAAATATGATAAAATGCTAATTATATTTGCCTTTTTTAATCCATTGAAATGTAAAGGATTGTGTGAAATTTCATCATTTCGACTACTATCCCCAGTATCGAACTGAATCGAATCGTATCGTATCGCATCGCATCATATCGTGGGAATTTCTGAGGTATCAAAAAAAATCGAACCGTTGGCTTAAGGAATCGATACTGTATCGTATCGCGAGGAAAGCTGTGATTTACACCCCTAGGTAACAAAGTGCACTCTATTTTAAGCCACTGAATACTTTTGACCACTGTTTCTCAGCGATCTAGAAACATGTGGCAGCACTGTAACATTTAATACCACACAATTCAGAAATGTTAATCGTACACATTATTTTAACCCAAATCCGAAGAAACCACTGTTAAAATATATACAGTATAACCCCCTACACAAAATATAATCATCTGAAATGCCATACAGTAACAGATGTGACTTCCCTGTATCAGATAAGGCCAATTCATACTTCTTGGTGTAACGTTACAGTCTGCGCACAAGGTGAGTGACGTAAACTTAGTCATCAGGGGTGTCTGTGTGGACAATCCCCACATAGCCCAGATTTTGGATCTAGTGGACTTCTCGGTCGTTAACTGCGCACGTGCAAGGAAACTGACTAGGCGTTTCTAGTCGGTTGCAGGTAGATAAACGGATTAAGTTGTACTTATGGATGCATCTGATAAGCAGCTGCGCAAGGAGGTGCGGAGGTACCCACATACAGCCGTGGAAAAAATTGAGGCCACAGCACAATTTTTTTGTTGTACTCATTTCTCAATTAATGAGTGTGTGTCTGTGAGTGATATGTAATTTTTTTGTAAACTGCAGCCTGGTTCTTCCCTGCTTCTTACTGATGAAGGACTTCTTCCTTGCTTTATGGGACTTCAGTCCTGCTTCTAGGAGCCTGATATGAAACATTCTAGCAGTGCACGTTACACCTGCACTTAATGTTTCCCATTCCTTTTGATGATCACTTGATGTCATCCTACAATACATGAGAAATTGTCGGATAAGCAAACAATCTCTGGCATTAGAAAGTCACTTCTGCCCTTTACCTGGCTGGTTTCTGGTTGTTACCAGTGTGTCCTGCTTCACCTTATTCTTGATTACTGAATCTGAGTCTGAGAAATTTTGAACCTGGAAGCAACCTGCTGCTCAGCATAACCTTCTACAAGCAAAACCACAATTAAACCAGGATGAAGAATGCAGATTTGTTAAAATATATAGAGTGGTCTCAATTTTTTCTGCGGCTGTATATATTTATTTGGGGAAAAATGAAGAGACAACAGCAAAATTTCTCAATTTATGGGTATGCGCCTGCATAAAATGCAAATTTTTTTTTTTTTTGCAAACTCCAGCCTGGCTCTCCTCAGCTTCTCATTGATAAAGGGCTTCCTCCATGTTTTATGGGTCTTCAGTCCTGCCTCTAAGAGTGTTATGAATTGGCCTAGCAGTGCATTTTATACTACTTAACGTTTTCCATTCTTTTTGAAGGTCACTTGAGGTCACCCTCTGATTAATGAGGCACTATTGAATAAGTTGAAGGTCATCTCTGGCATTAGATAGTTGCTCCTGTCCTCTGCCTGGCCGGTTTTTGGTTATTGGCAGTGTCTCTTGCATCATTGCATATACATTGCACTTTATTGTTTCTGTCCATTGGTACACAACATTCAACTTTTGTTATTGTTCATATGTCATATTAACGTCCAGACAATATACCTCTATATATGGTATTTTGGCGGTATTTTCAAAAGCAGCGCTATTCCAGCATTTTGAAATTTTGGTAAAGAAATTTGCAACGTGTAGGTGGGGTGGCCAATTTTGTCACCAAAATTTCAAAATACTGCAGTATGCCGAACTGCCATAAGACTGCGGTTCAAGCCCAGTAACAACTTTTAAACTCTTCATAGACGTTAACCAATTTCACTACGCTGCTTATATTTGTGTTTGTTGTAACATGACTGCCCTCTGCTGGTGTGAGGGAATATCATTGCTATACACAAGCGCTCTCCACGACCGTCCATGTGCCCAAAAAACAGCGCAGCTGTAGAGATTAATTTTGAAAACAATTTTACTTACTTGTCACAACACTCAACAGTGCTATCCTATACAAAACACATACATTTGTGTAAGCCATAAACTTTGTAATTACCTTGGACAATTTAATTTTCCATTTGAAAGACATCGAGTACGTCTTGTCAATGATTGGAAGTGTTTTGAATAGAGTAATTGTAGAAAGTGTGAATTGTATATAAACAGCCCGTAATTACAAGAATACGACACATGAGAAGGGTGTTTTTGTTGCTACTAGGGGATCACGCAAACAATTGGTTAAAGATGGTACAAGTGTTCAGGAATCACCAGGATTATTGCTGCCTATGACGATGACTGGCTCATGAGCCGATTTAGACATCCAAGAGTCATACTATTGCAATTATGGGCTTCAGTGGGACCAAGAATCGAGAAAGCAACCACTCAAAACCAGGCATTATCTGTTCAAATACAGGTTCTGACCACAGTTGGGTACCTGGCGATAGGCATCTACCAGAGGGAACAAGCCACCAGAACATGGATATCCTGGCCACCTTTCAGCTCCAGTATGCCTGCCATACTGGATGGCATTACCCATTTGGCTGGGCACTACTTCAGGTTACCCTATGATGTAGTCCATTTGCATTGACTGGGCAGAGTCTCAGGCACGTGGATCGTATCCAAGATCGTTCTGATTTATCAAGAGGGAATTTCCTACATATGTGCGTAGGCCAGGTTTGATAAATAAGTTTTTGTGTATAGGCATTTTTTCCATGTTGAAATTTACGCGAAATTTGATAAACGAGAGCCCTACTCCGGTATCGTGTAGCTCCATTCACCGTCGACAGGCTCCCTGTAGTAGGGTTTTCAATGGCCTTTCTATATCTCCAGTCCAATTTTGTTCACTAGGAAAATGTACAGTGTGCGTCTTTTCAGATAGCACATAAAACATAAAAAGTGAAAGCATGAAGCTCAAACATTTCCCGATTTCCCTAGCGCTCGCATGCGCACTTCCGTTTCCCGTCTTCCCCTTTCCTTCAGTCCGAGTCAACAACGTGCATATTGAAATGAGTTCCCCCCAAATCCTCAATACAAAACAAATTAATTTGTTCCAAATCAGCAAAAACAACACTACAGTACAACGAGACTAAACATATTCAGAAAATGTATTTTTGATGTTAACATCGTAATTTTAACAAAACTATCTGCAATTGTCACGGATGTTTCTTGGTTGATTCCGTGGCGGGTTTACAGCACCTGGACCGGAGCTCAGGTGAGGCGCTTCACGTTTGCTGAATGATGCGGTGCCGGGTGTATAGCGCCCGACCCGGAACCCAGGTGAGGCGCTCCACGTTTCCCACGGGCAGGTGCACTGACACGTAGGGCTGCAACTAGCAGCGGAAACATGGCGCCCGGCGTTCGGTGGAGGACGTGGAGCTGGCGCTCGAGGAAATCCAAAGTTTGGCTGCTGTTGTTGATTGGCGCCATGCTGATCAGCTTAAATGATGGAGCAGCACCGGAAAAAGGAGAGTGGGACTACATCGTCGTCAACGTAGGTGCAGCTTTATAGGACTTTCGGGGAAATGGAATGTAAACATGTGTTCCGAATGAGGAAATGGGCGCAGGCATCCAAACCGCAGCTAGCTATTTATGACTTAAATTCCCCCTCGGTGGTTAGCATAAACAGATACTGAGTATAATGATCCGTGACTGAAATATTACATATCGAGGCTAAGAAGCCTGTATAAAAATTATTATGACTTTCCCTGTCCCAGAGCTCCCGAATAATGAAACTGTCGAAACACTAGCCGGCTAATTAGCTTGCGGCTACGATTCACCGTGACAAAAGTAATTAGAGTACTAGGACTACCTAGTTTTATATAATTTAATTCAAATAAGAAACCGATCGGCTATCGTTTTTGATAATGCGGTGTCTGTTTCCGTGGATGGGTGGCCAGCTTATTGTCAGTGACTGAATAGTTGACTTAATCATGAAACTTTGGAAGTATCAGACAGTCTATAAAAAATATTACTGTGTTCTTCAGTTTATTGGGCTAGATTTACACATGTAGACTCGCCCTTGTCGGCACTCGCCTTTCCCATTTGAGTTTTAAAACGTAATGATGCATATTAAAGGTACAAACTACCAGACGAATATATAACTGCAGGAGTCAGGACCTTTAAGGCACTATTGAGAAATTTGATGTTCACGTTTATGCAGCGTTTGGATAAATCTATTAACAGTATCATTTTATCGCTATCAAATCCTAGCGTTAGTTGTTCCCGTTATGCATCCAAACTGAGGGTGCATTGGCTGAGATGTCTGTATGTCAGTTGATCTTCCCGTTTTTATCTGTCCTTTTTTGTGTGTGTATCTATGGACCTGAGTCTGTCAATAAAGGTAATTGATATTGATATAAGATAACTATTAACTGAACATTTCGAGATCCCGAAAGTAGTGTTAGAATCACAGATAAGATGGCAAGCTTAAAAATTCATAAAGCTACTGTGGCACTGTACTGTATGTTTTATTTATTTAGAATATACTTAATTATTTAATGTCCCTTTAAAGAGCTGTTAAGTCGCCATGATCAGTTTTAGGTAGGACTGTCACTAACGACTATTTTTCTATGGATTGATCTATAGAATATTTTACTGATTGGTCGATTAATGTAAGCAACTAATTTTCCTCCAGAAAATCAAATTTACCGTTTAGGCTAAGTAAATTTGATTTTGACTACAACAAACTATGTCATTGCAGGACTTTAGGTAATGGACTTCGGCTTTTCGGGACTATACGGTCATTACTTTCACCCACAATTCGATAAGAGGGTTATACTATGTCTGCAATATTAATGAGATGCGTATTGTGATGCCCAAAAGTTAGTAATCTGTATAAATTCGGCGTTTCCTTATGTTTATTAAATTCGGTTAGCAGAGCGCCACATGCTACTGTTTTGGTAAATCATGGAAGCAATTAGTACTATAGTGGCGGCGAAGAAAGTCAGTTATTGTGACATCTTTTAAAAGAGAAGATATTCTGGATAAACAAGGTAAAAAGACGTTGGTGGTGCGCCGGTGTTTTTTGTAAATACAGTATTCATTTGTTTCAGTTCACAAATTATTTTCTTTTATGTAGTGTCCGTTTTCATTTCAGTTTTAGTTTACAATAACAACACTGGTCCCAACAACATCAGCGTAGAATAAGCCTAGATTTTAGACGAGGCTGAAGTTGGCTACTTATTCGCAGCTCCTTATTCGGATTTTCCGGTCCACCTTAAATGCTTCGCAGCCCAATGCAATTACGCGATTGTGCCTGTAGGGGGGCCATTTTAAACCTCTCTGGGCCAGGACAATTTGACTTTTTCTGTATAGTAGGATACCTGATGCGTACTGAGAACTTGAGAAGTTCATACTTGCCTGGCCCAGAGAGGTTTAAGGTATTAAAATGTTCCCCCCCTACAGGCACAATCGCGTCATTGCATTGGGCTGCGAAGCATTTAAGGTAGACCGGAAAATCCGAATAAGGAGCCAACTTCAGCGTCGTAGATTTTAGCTTAAACATTTTCACAAACACTTTTTTAATGGAGATTCTAAGGTAGCAGGTAGACAACTTTGTGGCTTTAATAATGAGTATATTTAGCAGCTACAGGGACAAAAGATATTAAAAAGCTCTCTGTACCAATGGTAATTTAATAAACATGAATAGACAACATGGTAGGTTTGCCTACCCATAACAGCTGGTGTGCGTTTCCTCTTCTGGGGCTCGTGCATGGCCATGGTGTCGCCGTGGTACGCCATCGAAACTTTGCACGGTGTACAAACCACCTTTTTTTAGTGATAATTTGAATTACTCTGATAATTGCGCAGAGATATTAAAGGAAAACAATTGTTATGATCCACTGAAGTGTTTTAGAATCCATAAAGGTAATTTCGTTAAAATCATAATAAAAAAAAAGATGCGTCGATTTAAAATATTGAATGCGACGTCATCGGCTACGTCGACTAATTGCGGCAGCCCTAGTTTAAGGTGTCATTATATAATGCTATTTATGGCATTTTTTTCTTTTAGTAAATGTTCAGCTGCCCGTACAATTTCTAGAAAGTCTTTATTGGACTGTTTAAATTAGACATGACATACGTGGAGCTATATTAATTACTGAGCGTCGTTGTTTTTTCCCCCTCTGAACTCGTGTTAATTTGTATCCAATTTCAGTCTTGGTAAGGAAAGCTTTTATGTGATCATGTCTGTGAAACTCTCGTGCCTGATTCACAATATGAGAGTTTTGCGTAAAGTCTAGGAATTCCATCTAACATGAGCTTTGTTCTTTCCAGGGGTCAACACCGATACTGCTGACAAAATCTATGTACACCGGCACTGACATAAAAATGAAAAGTGAGTTATCCTTGCAGTTATCTCGTAATTTGGAGCATGGCTAGAACTGTTTTGCTAAGTAATAACTAGTAGACGTTTGCATTTCGGCAACAATAATCTCAGGCGTCAGAGTCGACAGTGAACATTTTGTCTTTGTTATCCCAATGAAGTAGATATTTTTTCTGCGCATAAGTGAACAGTATTTGTTTTTGCTGTGTGTCTGTTCCTCAGTGTGAATTGCTCCTGTATTTCAGTTAAGTCCTTTGAATGTCCAGGAGAAATGAAGTTTACCATTGGCTGGTTCTTGGAATACTATCCATGTCACAATCAGTATAAGAACATTGATGTAAGTGCCTTTACTGTAGTGTTTTGTGCCGCATCAGTTGAATGATTTAATAATATATAAGTGAATGTCTTTGTTGTCATATGAGTTACATATGATGAGGTTCTAATGACCGTGGTGATTCAGAGATACAGTTCAGAAGCTGTGAATGGCTTGTTTTCACTGCTCTATTTCCCATCTGCTGCCTTTTGTGTACTATTAACTATTCTTGTAAATGCTGTAGCTGAACAAGCAAACATTCCAACTCACTAATTAGACATGGCCAGTGGAACATCTTGAGTGTTCTGGAGCAATTTTTTAGTTAATTTTTTTTTTTTAAAGTTTTTATTTATGATAGTGGCTGATTTCAGCATTTCCCATTTTACAGGAATTGTTTGAGAAATTGGAGCATAGCAGGGAGAGACTCCTGAATGTAGGTGAAGGGGAATACGTTCAGCTAAAGCAACTGCAGGTTATATGCAATAAGGAGCTACGAGTCTTTCCCCCTTTTAACGTAAGTACATTTCACGTTTAGCTACTTAGCTGATCTATGTTTTCTACCCTTTGATTCAGGGAGATTCTCCATATTGAGAAACATGCTTTTATGTACCTTGTACTAAGGTACTATTTGTAAGAAGCAGCTCTTCAGTAATCTCCTTATTCCATGTGTATCGTCCTGTGTATAAAATTACCTCGCGGGTGGCTTCCATGTTGACTCTTCTTGTTGGTTATATGGTCAGTTTCCAAAAGGGCTTTTCACTTCTTTTTTGAAGATGTTTGTCTCAAAGTGTTTATTTTTTACAATTTTGTTTTAGAAAACAAACCAGCTGCCTTTTACTGTGGGAGCTTTTCCACATCATATGAGACAGGTAAGAATAACATGTAGTGTTATCAAATATTACTGTCATTTTCAGCAGGTTTAATGGTGAAATTTAGAATCCTTTGTATGAAACTTGTGGTTGATTCCATGTTTTCTTCCATTTGATTTGTATGTTATGGCTGGCCTGTTAATGATATTAGTTGAATTGCTTGCAATAGATTTTTGCTTTTCTTTTTATAAATGTTCTGTAAAATTATGGTTATCATAGAATGCAGTACAAGCAAGTATTTCCACCAAATTTTTAAAAAATTGCTTTTGACAGAGTGATCAGCTATTATAATTCAGTTTCATTACATTACTCTTACTTGTAAGAGCTATGAACAGGGAGAAAAATGGCACATTACAAATGTATAGCTGTTAAAGTAAACTAGGCATCAGTGCAGCATGCTTGAGCTTCAAATGAATGTACAGTTACAAGAGTAAACAGTATTGAAGCAAGAGGTATACAACTTTTTTCAAACAAAGCAAGAACCTAATGTCCAGGGTAATTTGCATAGCACAAAAGATCAGAAGTCAAAATAAGTCCTGCAGTGTTGTTAGAGTAACCTTTAAATAGTATTCTGTTTACAACAGGTAACTTGCCCTGGTTAGGGGAACCATGTATAATGTACTTTTGCATTTGGTTCATCCTTGTTAACATCTCAGTAAGCTCCCAATGATATATTAAACATTCAACTATAGTATTGATTTTTTTAAGTCTGGGTTTCACATTTTTGTTTCTTTCAGTCTGCATTTACTTTGAGGTTTACACTTCCCTCTTTTGTCGTTTTATCAAATTTTAGCAGAATACCAGTTACATGAAAGATGGATCAAAACATCCTTATGAGGTAAGATTTCTCACTGTCTGTTCAAATCAAGTGCCCCCTGGTTGAATGTCTGCCATTGACACGTTAGTTTCTTGGTTCCCTAGGAGAATGTTATCACCACTACGTGGAGAGACGGCCCCTACCTCCTCGCAGTGTTCATCAACTCCGAAAGTAAGGTGGCCAACTGGAATTTAACAGGTGAGATTTTACATATTACTTATTTCCTCAAAAATACCATGAAATGATCTACAATGAATTTACACAAATTAATTTGTGCAAACAGGAAGATTCTTGCAGATCACTATTTCCCAATCCAGTCCTTGGGGACTTCCAGACAGTCCGCGTACTCGCTCCCTGCCAGACAGTCCGTGTTCTCGCTCCCTGCCAGACAGTCCGTGTTCTCGCTCCCTGCCAGACAGTCCGTGTTCTCGCTCCCTCTCAGCTCCCTGCC